GAACAGGAGGTAATCAGTATTTTGGTAGGTAGAATAGGGCAGCTAAAGGGAGGAAAAAGGTTCCCGTCAGGTCACAGAAGAAGGGGAATTGTTACCAAAATGAACTAGAAAACTTCTATGCCTATTAATAGTGCTCTTATATTTAGGAATACAAGCCTACCATATGTCCCTTTAAGGGAGTTAAGGATATTTTTTTTCCTTACTTACTCCTTTCCACTGTGTTGATGTCACTACTGCTTTGATCGGTGCTAAAAGTTATAATGTAAATAAAAGCCATCTTCTGTGTCTGACTTATATTGCTATGCTGTGCCTAAGGTTTGGCAATTTACATTGCTGGCAGAATTCCAAGCTTTACAGGTGAAGTGCATGAAGAATTAAGTCCTTAAATATATAAGCCCCAGTAGAGAAATCAGCAAAGCTTCCATAATTAGAATCATAGGACTTAAAATTCTTACAGAACAGTCCTCAAATTTAAACTACAATACAATACTGTTAATAAATAAAAGCAGTATAAACATACAATTAATATTCATTTTCTTCAACAAGGATACAAGGCTACATTATTAGTGATTTACTGAAAACGCCAAATAGACAAGTTTTCATTCTAGGATACATTCACTTCTTGGCTCGCATTCTGACTCCTAACTGCTTGCCCATAGCATTATAAAAAAGTATAGATCTTATTAAAGATATCTTATTATTGACTGTTTGTTCCAGAGAAAGGCAGTTCTGCACTGAAAATGTCATATGGTTCAAGATACAAACATTCCTAAATCAGATACTGCTGATCTCCATTTTCCGTCATTTTCAGTGCGGGGGAAGCCTGAAAACAGAGAGATGGACAGCAGAAAATCACAGGAAAAGCAGCAGGCAGCAGGGACAGCAGGAAAGCAAGGAGAGGCTGAGAGGTGGCAGAAAAGGGGAGATGGAATTGGGAGGAAATCGGGAAACTAGCAGAGAGGGTGGGAACTGGAGCTGAGAGAGAGAATGAGGCTGGAATTTAAGATAGGGAAGGGCCTGGGATTCAGTAAAACATGACCCAGCTCGGGGTTGCAAATGACAGTGGTTTTATTGAACAGGGGAGATGGTGACACAATGCCAAATTGGTTCCCTTGCACCCACCCACACACCCATACTGGCAGCAGGGGTTAGAGAGGCTTGGTGCAGGGACTGAAGTCCACTGAAGTCCAGGAGGAAAGAGAGAGACCGAGAGAGTCCAAATTGTAGGAGGAGATGTTCAGGTACTATCTACCAATCTAGGCTGGAAAGGGGTCCTTGTCCAGTAGATGTTGTCCAGAGGGGGGTTGCCGGCAGGGCCTCTGGGTGGATAGGTGGTGTGGCATGGTGCTGGTCCAGATGGAGAGGGCATGCCACTGGGTCTGTCTTCACTGCCCCTTTTTATAGGGGCAGACCTTGTGTGACCCTAGTGACAGGAGGCACGCCCCTGGCATACTGAGCATGTGTGCTCCATGCAGGGATGTGCAGTTTCAGGTGTCTGGAATGGTGAGAGTTGCTGGTTTTGCAGGGTCCTTTGTTTTTCAAATGCTGGTCTTATCTCTGTTCCTGTGTGACATCCGTGGTTCCTGGGTGAATCAATGCGAGGTGATGGCCCAGTCATTACAGGCCATTCAGTAGAGGCCTGCTACCATTGTATTTCAATCATTCCCAATCACACTCATTCATCAGGGAACCAATTTACATGGGAGGGGTACATGACTCATACAGTTGCAACATGGGATGCCCAGGCAGGGGACAGAAGATGTGGGCTTGACATATAAATTGGAAAATTGACATGACTTTGGTTCACTTACAAACACAGGCCTAAACCATACAAGATCCATATGAAACAATAAAAATCAATACAAAAATGATAATAATACAATATACAACAGTAAAAATCAATACAAACCTAATAATTATACAATATAGAACAATGGATATCCAAAACCAAAAACTTGCTACCAAAATAAAAATGTTTAAAGCTTATCCTAAGTTTGAGCTCACTTATACTTATCTATAGGAAATAGAGAAGGAGAGAAAAGGTCAGAAATGGTTGGGGAAGGGCAGGGAATGCATTTTAAAATAAATACAACTCCCCCCCCAAAAATGAAAAAAAACCCCCAAAACTTGGGGTTTTGCTACAATACTAGAAAATTCCATCCCACCCCTGTCACCTAGAAATACTTAATGTGAAGAAGTATGATCTTCTGTCACAGAAAAGATCACCTGCAGACAGATTAGACTCTCAGAGTATTCCAAATGTCCATTTTAAGAACACGAGTACAACACAAAACCGCACAATCTTCTTTCACAAATTTGTCTCACACATGGAAGCAATCAGGGGCACCATTGACGCACACTGCTCTAACCAAGACTCCTGGTTGGTGAGAACAGAGAGTGAAGAAGAACTGTGCTTTGAAGAAAGAACTCTAGTGACCACTCTAAGACCAGCCAGTACTAAGAAAACCATCCTTCAATGACTGGTGGCATAACTGGTACACAATTTAAATCACCAGGCAGGAACCTTGGTTTAATCATTGTTTTCTACAAATGGTGCATTTTTTTGTTGTTTGATATCCTTTATTCATTTAAATTCTTGAAACTTTGCATTTTGAGAGAAAGCTAAAGGCTTGACTGTGTGTACACAAACTTGCAGAGAGACAATACGGCTGATGGGTGGGTAATCCATATCCATATACTGCTGTTTAATAAGGATGTTATCTCTGGAGACGACAAACTCTCCCTATACCTGGAGAAGGGTGTTTGTACCTGAAAGCTTGCAAAATACAATTTTTCCAACCATTTAGTTGGTCTAATAAAAGATATCACATCTACCCAAAGAGCTTTGTCTGCCCATGATCTCTGGAGACACAAATCCACAGCTTGAGAACTGAAACTAAGCATCACAGAGATGCTTAATGGCATCTTCTAGACTGAGCACTGAGTCCCCTTGGGTAGAGTGGTTTTCTTTAATCTTTACTAATCTATAGAGGACCTTTGGGAACCCCATAAGATTAGTTTCCTAATACTGTCCATGGCCTGTTGTCACCTATTTATCAAACTTCTAAAAAAGTTAAATGAATATATTGTCTCAAATAGTATATAATTAGAAGTTATAATCCCTATTCTATGATGATACCTTTGAGCTTTAACATATCTTAAATTAAAACTATCTTTATATACATTTTTTTAAAACCATCTTTTAACAAACCCCCCCATACAATTAAATTAAAAAAATATTATTTTAATTAAAAAATCCATTTTTAATTTTTTAAAATCATTGATCTATATCCATTTTGCCCTGCACTTTATTAGGTTCAGTGTATTCCAAGTCAAAAACAAATGCATCTATTTTTATTTTTGTTCACTTTTCTGAAAACTTCCTAGGTTTTCAGTTATGAAATATGACAATTTGTTTTCTGCTGAATACAAGAAGACAGGATGTTTATCTTTGATCTGTATTAATGCAACTTTTTTTGTCTGTGATACTGAAATAGAATTAATTGAACGGACCCCGTTCTTCTGAATGCTTAATTAGTTTAAAAGATACAGGAGGTTTAATATCCCCCGCCCAACAGAGTATTTTAATTACTTCTCTTTCTCAAGCATGTAAAGCAAAGATTCTTAAAAAAGGCTACCATAGGATAATCTTTTCAAAATGTTCCTGAACAACTATTTTCACACAGATATTATTATAAATAGTCTCATTCTGGTTTTCTTTAGAATGTTTAAAATTGCTCAGATTTATATGTTAGCATGTGTCATTTCAAGGACATTTACATTAGAAATTAAGGTCAAATTATATACAGACTGATTCTGATTCTATTTGGATTCATGCAAATCAGGCATAATTTAAAATCAGTGGTTTTGTAGGAATGTAGAGATGCGGGGAGGGGATTTGAATGTTGTAAACTCTTCTAAAATAGAGGTCTTCACTGTATCAAAGCTATGCCACAGTTTCTCCTAAGCACACTTTTCCCAGTCACCTGAGAGCCAAAATAGGATCAACAGCATGTAGAGCTGCTGTGCCAGCTAAACAGCAGGAAACAGTACTTTTATATGAGACTTCAGAAGAAAGAAGCAGCATGTCAACATTTCTGCCTTGCTTAGACTGATATCTGAGGGTGTACCCTGGAGGAGGAGAAGGAACTGCTGACTAGTGAGAATCACTGAAGTCCTTGTTGCAACCTCCAGGAACACTTCACTTCTGCAAGTCCCACCGCTGCAGGTTTGCTAGTGAGTAAGAGGAATCAAATATAAATCAGATAGCTTTATTCACTGTTACTTGGTCAGTGTGATGGTGGAGCTTACAATGCCTCTCTGTATCCTCTTATAATCTCCCAAAGAACTATAAGTACCCTGACTTTCCCGCCTGCCACATCTTGGATGTTATTATAATATGTTCTAATTTATTATGTCAACAGGGTTATTATATATATTTGTTGTTTTATTTTTATTTTTTTTGTGTCTCTCTATTAGGAGTTCTGGTATTATACAGGAAAAATTCACACACCTTCTCAACTATCCACACACACTCGCCAATATGTGTATATATATATTCACAGTTGGATGCAGATTAACACTTGTCTTTATGTTTATCCTTTATAACGCTATACAAACTTTCTTTATCTTTAAACAGAAGTGGTCTATTTTTCCTTTTTTTTTTTTTTTTTTAACCTTATCAGTTATATCAACTTTGTAATTCTATCTATATACTGTTCTTACATAACTATTATCAGTTCGGTCGTGTTGAACTTGGTATTAGGAAATGAAGTCTCTTTATCTCTGGTTCATCCATTTATTTCTTTTTGGGGCAGAATTTTCTCTTCAAACCCCGTTGTATGCTTTCTCTTTATTTCTATTACTATAAGTACGTACCTTTTATCTTGTGCACGCCTGAAGCCTTGAATCCTCATGGCCAACACTCAGATGCCCTCTTCAAGCTTGTGGGAGTGCGTCAATTCACTCTCCTGTTTGTTTGTTTTTTATTTACTTTTCAGCGCAACTGCCAGCTGCATCTTGTGGTGTACCTCTTCAGGAACCCGCCCCTCCTCCTCTGAGCTCTGCTCTATCCGGCGTCAAGAGAAATCCTGAGGTAAGCCTCTTGTCTTCTGGGGATCTTCTTTTTCCCCCTTTTCCTCTTTCAGCCACTCTCTCTTTTTTTTCTTCTGAGACTCCTGTCTCCTCTTTCTTTTTTTCTCCCTGAGCTTCTATCCTTCTATGGTAATAGCTCCAGAAGCAGCTCTTTTCCCTGGCTCTTTTCACCGCGTTGCTGTTTACTCTTTCACACACCTTCCCCCTTAAGACACCGCTAGGCGCCTTTTGTTGTTTATCCTGATCCTCAATGTGGATGGGGTTTGTATCCTCCTGGGTATTCGATGCCTCTAGGGGTTGGGTACCAGGATGACATCGAGATAGGAAGTCTGCCACCACGTTGACATACCCAGGCCTGTATTTGATATCAAAGTGAAATGGTTGTAATGCAAGAGCCCATCTGGTGATTCAGGCATTATCTGTTTGGATTGTCTTTAAACACTTCAAGGGTACATGATCAGTAACTAAAGTGAATCTACGGCCCAGGAGATAATACTGAAAATATTCTACTCCCCACTTTATCACTAGGCACTTGCATTCAATCGTGGCATACCTTTGTTCTGGTGCGTTAAGTTTCTGGCTAGCATAGGCAATCAGGCATTCTATCCCATCTACTTCCTGCATTAACACAGCGCCCACAGCATAACTTGAGGCATCCGTCTGTAAAATGAAAGGACAGGTGAAGTTCAGGTGTATGAAGGACTGCATCATTACATAAAGCTTGTTGAGTCCTATGAAAGGCTTCTAAATGTTTCTCTTCCCATTTTATAGGCCTATTGCCTCGTCTTCTTAATAAGTCGGTCAAGGGGGTAGTTATCTTAGCAAAATGTGGTATGAACCTGTGGTAATAGCTGGCTAAACCAAGGAAGGCACGCATTTGTTTTCTTGTCTGTGGAGGCAAATAACCTCATATCATTTCAACCTTATCTACCAAGGGGCGCATGCATCTTTGTCCTACTAGGAAGCCAAGATATTTAGTTTCTGACTTACCTAAGGCACACTTCCCTGGGTTGGCTATGCGACCTGTTTGCCTGACTTCTTGGAGGACAGCATGCAGAGCTTTTAAATGTTGTTCCCATTTGTCTGTACAAATTATAATGTCATCTATGTAGGCTGCTGCGTATTGTTGGTTTGGTGCTAGGACCCAATCAATGAGTCTTTGGAAAGTGGCTGCAGCTCCATGCAAGCCAAATGGCATTCGCTTGAATTCGTACAAACCCTGTGGCATGCCAAAAGCAGTCTTTGCTTGGTCTTCTCTACGTACAGGTATTTACCAATATCCCTTTGTCAAATCTAATGTGGATATGTACTTGCTTTGTCCTACTATCTCCAGTAATTCACTGATTTGGGGCATGGGAAAAGCATCAAATTTTAAAATTGCATTTAATTTTCGAAAGTCAATGCACAAACGGAGGGACCCATCTTGTTTTGGAACAATTACAATGGGCTTCGCCATGGGCTCCGGGATTCTGTTATTATTCTTTGTTTTAATGTCCTGTCTATCTGTGTCTTCACTACTTCATATCTATGATACGGGATTCTCCGCCATCTTTCCCTTATTACCCTTCCTTCTGGTGAACAATGTTATGGCTAATCCTGGTAGTACAGCCGGGATACTCGTTAAACACATCTCCAAACTCCCGTATAAGCAGTTTTAATTGATCTCTTTGTTTCACCATCAACTGGGTACCTAGACAGACTTCTTGACTTGTTGGCTGGTTTTGATGTTCTCTATTCATTGTACCTTCATTATCTGCTTGCCTTCTCATAGCAGAAGCTACTAAACCGTCTTGCTCTTCCCACAATTTTAGTAAATTAACGTGAAAAATTTGTTTTTCCTTTTTCTGTCCAGGGCAGAAATTCTCATAGTTGACAGGTCCAACATGCCTGGATATCATGAATGGACCTTGCCAACAAGTTAAAAATTTACTTGTAGTATGTGGGAGTAGAACTAACACTCTTTGCCCCGGTTGTAAGTCTCTTTCACTCGTATTTCGGTCATACCTAGTTTTTTTGTTTCTCTTGGGCTTGTTGGAGATTATCTTGGGCTAAATTTTCTGCCTTTCGTAACTGTTCTCTCAATTCTCTGACATATTCGGATGGCCTCACCCCCGGGGGTTCCTCCTTTTTCCCATCCTCTCGGACCATGTCCATCAGGCTCCGGGGTCGATGCCCATAAACCAACTCAAATGGGGAAAATCCTAAGGATGATTGTGTGGCTTCCTGTACTGCGAACAACAGAGGGGGTATGACCACGTCCCACTTCCATGGCTCCTCTTGTGTACATCTGCGCATCACATTTTTAAGGGTTCCGTTTAATCTCTCTACTAACCCATTGGTTTGGGGATGATAAACCATGGTTCGTAAGTGTTTTATTTTTAATAGTTGGCACAGATTCCACATAACCTGGGACATAAAATTCGTCTCTTGGTCCGTAATGATCTCCCTAGGAATACCAAAGTGGGATACCCATTTAAGCAATTCTTCCACTATTCAAGGTCCAGTGACTGTTCTCAACAGGACGGCATCCAGAAAAGTAGTGGCATAGTCTATCAGGACGAGTACAAATTGGTAACTCATCATGCTTTTCGGTAACGGTCTAACCACGTCCAGGGCTATACAGGAGAATGGCTCTTCTAGCACTGGCATGGATTGTAAGGGAACCCGTGGTGGTTTTTGAAGGCTGACCCTCTGGCAACTTGGGCAGGCCCTACAATAATCTTCAACTTGTTCATACAGTCTGGGCCAGAAACACCACTTAGTCAGCCTGGTTTCCATTTTAGCTCTTCCCATGTCCCTCCTAATGGATTCACATGAGCGAGTTTCAAGAGGGGTTCCCAGTAGTCTTGAGGTATCAGCAGTTGCGGTACCTCTGTCCATTCTATATGCCCCACCGTTATCCTATATAACAGGCCTTTCCTCAACTCATATCTAGGAAGTGTGTGGCATCTCTCTGGGTAATTTACCTGATCATCCTGCTTGGCCAGCTCCATTAGTCTTATTGATCAAAACAGGTCCTTGTCTTGTTGAGCCTCTCGAAAGCAGGAGCTGCTTGCTAAACTCTCCAAATGCAATGCATTGGTCTCAGTGTAATCTTTGCTGTTCTCCCTGGCTAAACCTACCTTTACTTCTTGTCTCCTCATAGTGTCTAGGACTTCATAAATCTCCTCCCAGTCTCTGCCCAATATCATTGGGTAAGGTAGGTCATTGGCTAGACCTACCGGCATCTCTCGGGTGGTGTCCAAGATTTCCACCAGATATTTCCTTCGGGGTACACTGACAACTGGCCATGCATACAAATCATTTTTACGGTATTTGCGCTTGAAGCCCAGCCTCAGGGAGCTATGATAGTTCTAATCAATGTCTGGGCACATCCAGTATCCATATGGCTCTTATTTTCTTCCCTCCAACTCGGGCCCACACAGTGGGTTTTTCCTTTGATACCTCCCAGTGTGTTTCCCTGATGCTGCAGTCCATCATCTCAACCTGCCCATTGTCACTCCTCTCACTTCTTTGTATCTGGGTTTTGAATGGGATCTTTCTTGGTCACGGACCCAGTCAAGAATATCTGGCATAATCCCTTGTGATATGTCCGATTCTCCCACACCTGAAACATACTTTAGTTGGTCTTTTCCCTTCTCGAGTTTCTTTTTGTTCATTCTCTCGAACCACTTGCGGAGTTCCGGACATTGGAGCCTTCTCTTGGTAGTTATCCATTTGAACACTATTGAAGTCCTCAGCCAAGCATAATGCTTCTGCCGACGACTTCAGTCAGTGACACTGCACCCAACGTTGAGTATTTTCATCCAAATCTATTAAAAACTTCCAACAGGATCTGGTCACATAACTCCACCTTGGATACCTCCTGTGGCTTCAACCATTTTCTAAGAGATCGACCAATTGCTGCAACAGAATCCGCGGGGATTTCTCTTCTTTTTTTCTTTTGGGGCAGAATTTTCTCTTCAAACCCCATCATATGCTTTCTTTATATATCTGTTACTATAAGTATGTACCTTTTATTTTGTGTGTGCCTGAATCTTTGTGGTCAACACTCAGATGCCCTCTCTTTCATTCTCTTCCTTGTTTTGTTTTGTTTTGTTTACTTTTTAGTGCAACTGCCAGCTGCATCTCATGGTATGCCTCTTTGGGGATCCACCCCTCCTTCTCTGAGCTCCGCTCTCTCTGGCATCAAGAGAAATCCTGAGGTAAGCCTCTTATCTTCTATCTTCTGGGAATCTTCTTTTCCCCCCTTTTTCTCTTTTGGCCACTCTCTCTTTTTTTTTCTTCTGAGACTCCCATCTCTTCTTTCTTTTTTTCTTCCGGAGCTTCTATCCTTCTATGGTAATAGCTCCAGAAGCGGCGTTCCCTGGCTCTTTTTGCTGCGTTGTTGTTTACTCTTTCATAGTCTGTCCAAGTGATGGAGGAAACATGCCACGATATGTGTGAATCCAAAGATCACCAGAAAGACATATGTCTTAATACAGATGTCCTTCTTTGAATCATACAGTTAGGCCCCCTCTACATGTGCAGGTTAAGGTGAGATAGGATCTAATGTGTGATTCATGTAGTTGTGCCTCCTGCCATGCCATATGTGCATGCCAGGAGGTGAGATTGTGGGATTGCATATTGGATCCTGTTGCACCTTACAACCAGTGCAGGGGGAGCACACTGGCAAGCAGCAAGCTCCCATAGCTGGAAGCCCTGTGCATCCCAGCTGAGGGGTTCCCAGCTATGGGGGTGCCCCATGAACCCAGGGCAGGGGGATCATAATCTCTTCTCTGGGATTGCAGGAAACCCTAGGGCTGGAGGGTTGCCACTGAGATGATCTCCCTGCCCTGGGCGTGTAGGAAACCCCCAGGGACAGAGGATCACCATAGGGGTGATTCCCTCATCCTGGGAATGTGGATCATCTGATCCTAGGGATTTCCCACATGCCCAAGCCATGAATCCCCATGGACCAGAGGTTTTGCACTGGGCATGGTGCTCCCCTGAGGTTGGGAGCCCTGTCAGCTGATAGCATTCCTTTCTTGTGCCTGTCTCTTGGCTACTTTCCTATGATCCTATGATCAATGGATTACCATTTCAATCTACTTTCCAAATTCCTTAACTGTCTGTCAATCTCCAAGTCACTCAAAAAGTTATGCCTCAGTTAAGGAGAACTAATTAACACTTTAAAACTTCCTAGTACTTTCAAGATATTTTACCACATCCTTATTACATTCCCAAAATGGGTCTGACTATAGAACAATCTTGAGACAGCCAACAGTTCTAGAGAGCTGTACTGTGGTATGCTTTATATATTAAAGGCATATTAAAGTGATTCTGTAACTGTGATGGTCCAGAAATCATGCAAGAGGCAAGGATTTGTTAGGATGATTTATTTTATTGCATCAACTATATCGTTGGGATGAAGTTAGACATGCTTTCAATTGCAAGAATCAACAAAGAATGTCTTGTCTAACTTTATCCCAATACATAATTGGTTCAATAAAAGATATCTCCTTAACAAATCCTTGCCTTTTATGTATTAACCACCATTCCAGTACCACTGTACAACAGTGCTCAGCAGTAGGTTGGTTCTAAGGTCAGATAATCAGCCTAGTAGGATATTTTAATCTTTCTGAGCACATCTACATGTGAAATTAATGTGAAGCTTATTGATCCAGAGTTTATTGCTCCTGGGCATGCCATTTGAACATATACCCAGGACCAGAGTAGGTTGGGCCAGGTCAAAGCAGGCCTGGATGACAGGGGGTCCTGGGGGTCAGCCTGCCAGCCTGGGGTTGTTCCAACCTGGCTCAACATGCTGTGGAGGTGCTGACTGGATCATCAGTGTACTTCATTGTTGGGCTACCCATGCAGTGCTGCAGAGTAAAAAACTCCACAGCAGGATAGTACTTGTACTTACCACGTACTACCTAGCAGTGGAGTTACTTACTTTACTTCAGCCTAATAAAAGCATATGTGTGTTGCCCTGTGGGGTCAGGCTAACTCTCAGGATCTCAATATTGTGCTGTTAGACAGAAGGGTGTGGTGTACAATTGCACATGGACACATTAAAAAATCAATTAGGTGCATATACACACTGTAGGTGCATGCACCCCCACTAGGCTTGCACACACGCACTACCAATTCAGGCACATACACATCCAAAATTACCAGCCAGGCAAATACACACCTATCACCAATTCAAGCACCTACACACACTATACACACCAAAAGAAATTAGACCAGAATCAATTACCAATACCTGCATACCCAATACACATACATGGATCACTAATTCATATATCATGCACACAATGACATACATGTATATTAGTTCACATACATACCACTCACCTACACATACAGACAGGTGAGTTCCTAACTTGGGTGTTGTGGTGTGTATGCATGTGCTTGGGATACCTGGGGGAAGGTTAAGGTAAGTGAGAGAGAGAGAAAGTGTAGGGGGTGTAAGTCGCCGGGATCGGGATGAGAACCAGTAGACTAGAAAGAGAGCTGAGCTGAGGCTTGGGGTTACTTTAGGTTACTGCTGGTAGAAACGGAGATGAAAGTTGCCAGTGCCAGGATTAGAACCGGCAAACTGGAGGGAAGTTGGGGTAACTTAAGGTTAGTTGGTGTTAATTGAAAGCAGAAAGACAGCAGAGCAAAGGAGCAATGCCAGAGAGAAGCCTGGAGGCTGGAGCTGGAGCAAGGAAGTTACATGGGAGCCGAGAGGTACGTGGGGAGAGGAAAACTGGGATTGGGGCTGCGGGGGTGGGGAAGGCTGGAGAACACATTGAGAGAGAGAGAGTGCAAGAGAAGGCAGAGAGAGATAGGGATTGGGGAGAGCTGGCAGGAGGCAAAAAGTGGCGGGAGCGGGGCTGAGAGCCTGAAGAAAAGGGACAGAGAGGAGGCAAAAGGTGGTGGGAGTGGCGGGGCTGAGAGCCTGCAGAAAGCAACGGGATCAAGAGCCTGCAGAAAAGGGACAGAGAGGAGGCAAAAAGTGGTGGGAGTGTGGTAAGAGCCTGCAGAAAGCGACAGGGCTGAGCACCTGCAGAAAAGGGACAGAGAGGAGGCAAAAGGTGGTGGGATTGGGGCTGAGAGCCTGCAGAAAGCAACAGGGCTGAGAGGCTGCAGAAGGGTAACAGAGAGGAGGCAAACAGTGGTGGGAACAGGGCTGAGAGCCTGCAGAAAGCAACAGGGCAACAGTCTAGGGAGAGAGAAACTGGAATTTAAGATAGGGAAGGGACCAGGGCTCAGTAAAACCCAACCGAACTCAGGGTTACAAATGATAGTGGTTTTATTGAACAGGGGAGATGGTGACACTCTATTTTATTGGGTCCTTTACGCTCGCGCACACACACACACACACACACACACACACACACACACACACACACACACACACACACCACACACACACACACACACACACACTGGCAGCAGGGGTTAAAGAGGCAAGAGGAGGAAAGAGAGAGAGTCCAAATTGGAGGAAGAAATATGCAGGTGATATCTACCTGTCCAAGGCTGAAAGTGGGTCCTTGATGGCCAGTTGGGGTCTCCTTCAGCTCGGTGTTGTCAATAAGGGGTCGCCGGCAGTGCCTTAGGTGGATAGGCAGTGTGACATGGAGCTGGTCTGGTCCAGATGGAAATGGTGCTCCCAAGGAGTCAGTCTTCACTACCCCTTTTTATGGGGTAGACTACCTCTGATTTCCTATGGGGAGGGCCTGTCCAGGCAATGTCAGTCCTGTTCCAGAGGGTTCCAGGTGTTCTTACTGAGCATGTGCAGCCTTGGCACAATGGTGGGTTGCCTCATCTTTTGTTTCTTGAATGCTGAGGGTGGTTCCAAGAGCTGGGTCATTGGCCCAGGTATTGGTGTTGATGGTTCGGTCATTCAGAGCTATTTTTAGTTCCCCGTGTGGGGAACAGCTGATTAAACAGCTGGCGTAATGCCGGCTCACGTGGCTGCAGTCCAGGCTCCTGCTCTTATGGCCGGCAGGAGGTAAGTTCTCCCCGTGGGGGTCTGTTTCTGGGGTTTGGGGCCTGTGGAGATTGCCCTCTCCCCTTCAAAAGCCTGTGGGGGCGTTACAGATAAGGTGCTGTTACAGATAAACAGCCTTATCCTTATTGATTTCTCTGCAGTCAGTGACAAAAATCTGTTAATTTAGCTTTTGCCACTGATAGAAATGATTTGGGAACTTCATAGAACCCGTGCTATGTAAAAGAAATATCTGTAAAAGAGCAAATAAAAAAGAATCTGAAATAAATTGTGTGACTCTCAGTAATTCTTTGTTCTATGAAGTGCACTGCACATATGCTGTAGAAACAGGTTTTTTTTATGAATGGTAAACTGGGAGGGGCATAATGTCATCAGATTCTGATGTCAGCAGAATTAATGAAATACTTGCTTATCATATTGCTCCAAGAACAAGAAAACAGACGCACCACCCCAGTTTGACAGAAAAAATTCCTAGAACAAATTGTCTTTTGCTGACTAAACATTGTTCCCTCGTGTCCTAAATAATCCATTTAGGACTGAAATGACTGGATGACATGGAGATACACATAGAATAATATATATTTAATCTCCTACACATCCCTTCAAGAACTGTTAGTAGAGCATCCCTCCTGTGACACTGCTAATGGGCTCAGTGAACGGAAGACCTGGCACTGTATTTTTGCTGTTGTCTGTCTATCCCAATGTTCTGCTTTTGTCTGCAGAATTCTTTGTTGAAGCTACAAACCCTAGAAACTGACTTGTGCTCTGCATTTTTGCCAACCCAGGAAGAAATTCCTCAGTTACCGGCTTCCAAGGATCCACTCCCTTCATCTGCTCAATCTAGTGTGCAAGCTGATGGGGCCAGTTATGGAGGTAAGACACTAAATATCATGATGTGTTCTCATTTGCAGTTATAAGATAGCCAGCTGTCTTGTAGTTTAATCTAATATTTGTCATCCTTTGAGAAGTGCAGATGAAATGTGAAGGCTGAGGCACAATATGTTGCTGCCAGTGCTATGAAATATAAACAAAGGGATGACTTGTTATAAATAGTGATAACCTATTTTTCATACCTATAAATCTTGCTTTTGAGACAAGCTTTAAGAATCCTGCATTTTCAGTTTTGATCTGCTTTTGTCACAGTAGGGTTTTTGTATGTTCAGACAGTATGGTCTTTATTTACTGTTTTACAGCTGCATTCTGTGATATGTTCTGCCATTTCGTGTAATTCTATTTTTGTAATGTTTTTTGTCAGAGCAATATCACTTCATTTCTCCTATTATTGATTCTAATTTAATGTATCAGCAGAGAGATAGAGCAGGTGAGTTTTATAGCATGCTGATTGCACTCTCCCTTGTCCATCTTATATATTAAGATGTGTCCCATTTGTTTGTTTATTTATCCATCTGCCCATCCCCAACATGGAAACCAGTTCTTGCAAATAAACAACCGTAAGGTTTAGCATCATTTTCTGTCATTCTTGGCTTGTACTCACAGGACTGACAGAAGTAGGAGCCTAGACAGAAGAGGAACTCATGCTTAGGAAAAATAGTTCAAAGTAATCAAGAATATCACACTACACTTTAAATTTGTATGATATGCAAGTTTAAAATGTGCACTATGTAGGGGCCACATCAAGGTAAAGAGGTCAGTATTATAAGGCCTAATCCTTTTTTCTGCAAGGCATATTTTATGATAAAAAGCTCAGTTCAGGAAACCATATTTCAGAAGCTTCTTGTTTATTTTGTACAAGGCAATTAATTTTATTTACAGATATTTTTATAAAATACACTTTTCTTCTTTGGACTCTTTCAAATGGATGTAATGAGCTGCAAAATTAAGGAATACACACTTATAACCCTAATTATTGTAAATCTAATCCATACCAAGAATATAGCCTGCAAAAAGAGTGACATATTTTGGCTTTTGAGTTGTTTAGGGGTTTTTTTCTTTTGTTTTGTTTTTTCTGAATGCTGAAACAGAAGTTGGAGAATATTTAATATGACAGCTATGGTATTTGCTAATGAACCTAGTTTCTGACGTGTATTTGAGGTTAAAAAAAATGGAGGCTACAGGGGCAAGATCTCAGAGCTTGTACAAAACCTGCATTCTATGTATTGGCAGGGTGTGCTTTCTGTCCTTTTCCTATTTTACAAGATTTTTATACCCTGATGGTTTCATAACTCAGAATAATTTATACTCAGTTTAAGACCTTCTGTAACTTTTATCTTTGATGTGAATTGGACTTCCTTAAACTGTTAAAACCCTCCCAGTTCAGATAACCTCTAACACTCATCTGCTCATTTACATTTATGCAAGAGTATCTTAGATGATGACACCCAGTTCAAATATATGTGATTTGCCACGCTGTTATTTCTAACCTGGGTTTTAGTGAAAGCTCAGCTCCTTATGGATTTTAATACACATCATGCTATAATAATTCTTGCTTTTTGGCTTTTCTAATTAGTAGCACTGACTCCTATTCTGTCTTTGAAAAAAATGGTCTAATTTAGAATTACAGTTAGTTGAAACACAGTAGTCCCAGGTTCTGTTAGCAGTTATACTGATATAAATTTGGACGTGGTCAAATTTTACACCAGGGTAACTGAGATTGAAATCTGGCCCATAGAGTATATTCTGCCCTACTATGCCTGTATTATCCCATTGTAGCAAAACCCCCAGTTTTTCTTTTTTAAAATTTTGAAATACATTTCCTCAACTTACCGTAATGATTTCTGACTTTCTCTCTGCCCCCTCCATACCTTATAAGTGAATACAAGTAATACTAGGTAAGCTAAGTTCCTGTATGCTATTATTGTAATAAGCCCCTTTTTATATTGTAAATAGTGTTCTGTTCCTATCTGTGTGGGCCGGGAGCGACCCGAGCCCTTTTCCGTGCTGCACGCGGGCTGTGGCCAGCAGCCCGGGCACGCCGGGTTGGAGAGGGAAGGCCGTCGAGCTGGAATTAGGCACAAACGCTTAGCGGTAGTTTAAAAGATTGTTTACTTACATCGAGATGGCAGTGGTGTAGGCTGGAAAACTTGCTTAAGTTGCGGTTACAGACAGACAACACAGACGGTCTCGTGGAGGTTGCTAGGCTCCACGGAACAGAGCTCCGGATGCTCTGGGTGAACGAGCCACCAAAGTTAGAATCGTAGATACGTCTTATAAAAGTCGCGCTCGAAGACGGGAAGAGGTGGGCGGTGGATCAGGCCGCCAGGCTCCTCTGGATCTCACACAGGGTTTCTATTACCCTGCCGTGTACCCAGAGTCCCCACGAGATGGATGTGGAGTCCTCTTTGGCTTGGGCGGAAACCGCTCAAGCCTCTTATACGGCTAACAGGCCAATTGCTAGCCGCCACATGGGAATAATTTAAAACTAGCCAATAGCGGGGAACGAATTTACATACCGGTGGCGGGAACTCTTTTGCACCGTGCATTCCTCTTGCAACATGAGCAATGCACTCTGCAAAAGAAGTTGCAGAAAAGGCGGGAAACTCATCCCTGCACCAGGGTTTTCCTCTGCAGCAGGAAACTCTCCCGTGCAATGAAGCTGCAACTTGGCGGGGATAATTCTGGTGCCGAAGCACACACAAAATCATGACTTTGGGTCATGACACTATCATTTTTGCATTGATTATTATTGTTTCATATTAATACTGTATGGTTTAGGCCTGTGTCTGTAAAGTAATGTCAAGTCTCCATCTTGTGTCCCCTGCCCAGGCATACCCTATTGTAACTCTGTTGTAACTGTATGACTCATACCTACCCCTCCTATGTAAATTGGTTCCTGAATGAATGGGGATGAATGAGGGTGCTTGAGAGACAATGGCAGTAAGACTAAAAATAGCTCCCCCGAATGACTGAGCCATCAACTTGATGACCCAACCATTACCCTGCATTGACTCTCCCTGGCTCAAGATTTGGAAGAGAAAGACTGCTGCAGAAATCAGCCAACTATGCCAAGGTTGCACATGCTCAGTATGAGCATCTGGAACCCTCTGAAATAGGGCTGACTTTGCCTGGTGTCACAGGCCAGCTGGTCACTGTGAGTGTATCAATTTTATCACAGGCCAACTGGGCTGTTTGATTCAGTTTTGGACTGAGGAGGCAAAAGTTGGGTGTGGAATGAAGGCAAAGTTATTACAGCTTACACACACACAGTTAACAGAAAGATAAATGCGATAAGCAGATAAGGCAGTATAAAAGAGCTAATAGTAAATAATAACAACAGATAATAACAGATAAATAGATCAATCTGTCACAGGCCAACTGGGCACTGCGAGGGTATTAGCCACACTGGGTTGTTCAAAACAACAAATAGACAGACATGGGTTGGCAACTTATCAATAGTCCCTCAATGCCAGGTGCATGCCAGGTGATTCCAGCGAAGTCAGGCATCCCTGATGATCGACGCTGTCAGAGGGATTACCGGGGAAGGTCCCTTGCTCAGGATCCGATCCAGGTGTGGGACAGAAATGACCGTTCTGTTCCCTCCTTCCTGCTGGTTACCTGATGCATGTGTTTTTTTATACCTAGTCTTATGTCAATCTGTTGACCTCAGGGCCACTCACAATGTTGCCCTATAGCTGTCACCCTATGGGATTCAAAGGAGTTAAAATTATCATAAAAGGTTTCTACCCAGACTCAGGTTTATCCAATAAGCAAATTATGATACAGCACCTTTAGGTATGAAATTGACATTGTTCCGCCTAAATCCCAACCCTTTTAGTCTTCCTTTGAATATGCTTTCTTGGGATATACTTTCCTGGAATGTGTTGGGTGTGCCAGGCAGTTGGATCCAGTTTTATCATCAAGGCTGAATCCTGAGCAAAAAACCATTAGGCCGGCTAATCTCACAGCTGCAGCTTTGCCTATGGGGCCCAGTCAGTTCCATGAACAGCTAATTTATCATTTTGGTTAAACTTATGACAGACAAATTACATTTGCAGTTTACAAACCTACAAGCTTATAGTAACTAATATTACCTGTTTAGGCAAAATACCAAATGCCTCCAAGAAGCACATATTTATTGCTTATTAATCCCTCTGGTTCTGGCT